AATACATGGAAGAAATGAAAGGTGTTTTTTACGTGTTTTTTTTTTTTTTAAGTAATCCCTGTCGGGGCCCCGCCGAAAATGTTCGAATTGGGCCCCGCACTTCCTAAAGCCGGCCCTGAGCAGAGAGCTCTAACAGGATTTCAACTTTAGTCCAGTAACACAGATTGTCAACATTCATTATATAGATAATATATTCTCAGCAATAGGATAACTTATTTTTTCTCACTTGCTATAGGAATACAATCAGTACTGTGTGGTAGAAGAAGCATATCAGAAAAGTGACATTCTGGAATATTCATCCCAGGGACCAGTGTGCCTAGTCCCTGGTAAAACAAGAAAGTTCACTTTCAAATTTGTTGCAAAAAGTGAAGATGTGGGAAAGAAGGTTGAGGTTAGTTATCTAGATTCACAGGTTTGGCTCTTCAAGCTCAAAATTGCAAGGTTGACTGACTGCAATTCTTTACTAGTTAGCAATGTCACCATATTGTGTATATTTAAATATAATTTGTTTTGTAAATAGCATTACAAGATTGGCACCCACTTCAAAAAACTGAGTAGAAAAATGGACAGGAGGGAGTGAAAAATACCAAGAGCTTCATATTAAAGGAGAGAGAGAGAGAGTGTGTGTGTGTGTGCGCGCGTGCACAGAAATATGTCTGCACACATGCATCCCCATACTGCCACAGTTGCTTAAGTGAAACTGCCTGGACTGTAGAGTGTGTTGAGATTTTAATCTCCTGTGCTGCAAGCAGTTTTAGGGGTATGTATGTATGTTATATATAAAGCAAGTGTGTGTGTGTGTGTGTGTGTGTGTGTGTGTGTGTACTGCAAAATGACTGGAGGAAGGGAGGGGAAAAGTTTTATCTGAATAAACATGTTTCAGATCACCTCTGTGGATTTAATCCTGGGCACCGAAACTGGCAGATGCGTGATTCTGAATTGGCGTGGAGGAGGAGGGGATGCTGCTTCATCTCAAGAAGCGTTGCAGGCAGTTCGCTCCTTCAAACGGCAACCTAAACTTCCAGATAATGAGGTTCATTGGGACAGCCTGACTATTCAGGCAAACGCTATGTAGGTAAACGTTTAAAATGCGTAATGGTGAACATCAAAAATATCTCCTATATGTATTGGATCTTTGTAAAAGAAATAAAAAGAAAAATAAGTAGCTCTTAAGGATTTATTTTCTGACTTACCTGCTTCCCACCCCCCAGTCAATAATCTTCATCATTATTATTATTTTATTATTATTATTTTTTGTTAAAGAACAGAGCTAGAGCTTATGGAAGAGGTTGATCTCAGTATCTCATTTGACATGGCCCAAAGATAGACCAAACAGGCTTTAGTCTCCTTTTATTCATCCTGTCCAATTGTTTTTCCAGGTAAAACAAACAAGGAAGAGTTATTTACAGCAGTATATAAATACACAAAGAGGCCTGAAAATGCTATACAAGGAAATAATTTTTATTCTATTTACTAACTTTAATACTAACTGGACATTTTCAGAAGAATTAAATCCTCACTTTCAGAACATTTGCTGTTTAATGTGGGATTCTGTATCTCTGGTTACAGAAATGTGAGCTCCCAACTCCTACTGGGCCCCCAGTCATTTTTAATAAGATATGTGCCAGTGTTCTGTGCCACTGATTTTCAGGCATTTCAGAGACTAGTGAAACAGGATATATCTCCCCTGGAGTTCTCATTTGAGCAATAGGCAACTTTAACCCTAACTAAAATGAACTAAAAATTGAGCCATCGAAGAAATGTGGAGTAACTAACCAGTTTTTTTCTTTTTTTGATTAAAGGATAATTTCTAGAGTGCCAAATATTTCTGTTCTTCTCCAGCATGAACCTCCTGCCCTGACTAATGAAATGTATTGTTTGATTGTGACAGTCCAGTCACATGAGAAGACAGTTGCCAAAGATGTGAAGCTCACGGCAGGTTTAAAACCAGGTATTTATTTCTGCCATGGTAGCATCTTAAGGGTCCTGTTGTCCTAGTTATTGTACAAAGAGTTAACACAGAGCCACAGAGAGCACACACTCTAAATCTAGGATTTACACAAATCATGATAGGTCAATTAACAGCTAAACAGGATGGGGGTTAGGTGGACAGGACTATAGTGGAAACAGAGGTGTATGAAGAAATGAGTGGTAACAAAGGTCTCATTCGCAGGCGGTTGCCAGCTTAACCAATACTAGACAGTAGTGTGTTGTGGGCACCAACAAAAAAGTCAGGTTTTAAGGAGGGATTTAAAAGAGAATTTTCTCGTGATCTAACAATACTGTAAAGTTACTTTTGACAACAAACAGATGGTAGATTTTTCTAGCTGAGCTGCTAGCAAGTTTCAGTTACAGAATTAGATTTAAAAGTAATGTTTCAAATACACTTGTATTTTTCTGTTGGATAACATGGGACCAATCCTGTCCCATTTGAAATTATGGGACAGGGTAAAAGGTACATTCCAGGTAGCTTCACATAGTTACATGCTGTTAGTTTGGATTTTGAATTCTTGATGTTATACCTATTGATGACAGTAGTGGTTGAGAAATACACTTTGCTTTGTATGGATAACTGCTAAAATGCATTTGGCTATATATTATAATACACGATCATGCAGAGTCTAATCCAAAGGCCATAGAAATGGGATCCTTCCCACTGATCAACTTCATTGAAGTTTTTTGATCAGATTCATAATGGAGTGTCTGACACCATATCTATGTTCCCCCTTACTCAGAGTCTGAAAATTTGATACACGAGGTCTTTATGGGCTTGCTGATTACTTAAAAAGAACCATCAAAATTTAACACTTCTGTTATAGGAAAGACTGTTTTCCATGTGACAAGGCATCCATGACGTGTGACAGGATGTGACTTCTGAGATTTTTTCATAACAAGTCATGGTCTTTGTAAACCCAGTCAACCCATAATTGAGCAAGACTCCCATGAATTTTTACAAATTGGGTCTTACATATGTTCAGTGTTTTTAAAGTATGGAAGACCTTGTTCATTTAAAATAAATAAAGGATATCTTGTTCACAATTTGACCCCTATAACTATGAATTGTACATTTCCTACCAACCTCCTTCACCCATTGGCATAGGTTGCTGAAAGGCCATCAATCTGTGTACAAAAAAAAAAAATTCTTTTGTGATGCATCCGTGTTGTAGTTTTGTGTCTTGCTGTTGTTGCTCATTTGGTTGAGGTATATGTCTGGTAGCAGTGGTGGTTGTTTTTTGTGATGCATACCTTAATATGCATAAATAGTGCCCGCTTGTCATGGTGATAAACAACATATAAATTAACAGAATAATTATGTGGGTATAAAAACAGTACATTTGTATTCTAGGGCAAGATGCCAATCTGACTCAGAAAACTCATGTGACCCTTAATGGAACAGAAATCTGTGACGATTCTTATCCTGCATTACTTCCTGATATCCCTGTAGGAGATTTACAGCCAGGAGAAAAGGTGAATTTAATTACTGCCCCCACTCCAATTAGGAAAATGTTTAATAGCTAAACTGAAAATGAACATTGGCTAGTAAAAACACTTTCATACAGATATCAGGACCACAATTTAGTTTCAGATGTGATGCCTAGTATCTGGGCTTTCTATTTAATGCAGCAGTTGTTTTATTCAAGGGATGAGCCTTTGACTTCCTTACATTTTTAGTTCTATGGGCTAGTTCAGTGGAATGGGGTGGGGGGCTGTGTGTGATACTAAGAGTGAAGCAATCTAATTAATATAATCCAAGGAGGCTGAACTGAACTGTGAACCCTTTAACACAAAGTTATCTCAACTGTGTATTTGACAGACAGAAGATTTTATTACTGCCTTAGTGTTAAGTTTAGGTACCGGAGCGTGCTGAAGAGTCTCACAGAATTGTTAAGGTGGTTGGCACAGAGTGGACATTAGAGGGATTTCATATTGTGATATAAAGCTAAAGAGAAGGAAGGGGATAAAGGAAATGCTCAATTTTCATTCCCCACTTTGAAAGAGGAGAATGAGTTCAGGATGCACTAGCTCTTCTGGTTGTGGGTTGAATTTGATGTGCTACATATCATTTAGGAGATGGCAAATATTAAAGAATCACACTATTTTCTATAAGTGCACACTGGAAGCTTTGTAGGCTGTACTGATAATTTAACAGCCTGAGTGCTAAATCTTATAAGAATACAGAGTTGAGTGACACATACTGCTTTTTTTTTAATGGTGGTGATGGTAGGAAGGGAGAAGGATTGGGTTCATTAAATGGACAGCAATTAATGTCTGCTGCTAAGAGTAATTGTCTTCCTACATCTTCTCCACAGAGTAATACTGTAAAACTCATGCGGTTTGAACTAGAGCTGTCAAGCGATTTAAAAAAATTAATCGCAATTAATTGAGTGATTAAACAAATAATAGAATATCATTTAAATATTTTTAGATGTTTTCTACATTTTCAAATATATTGATTTCAATTACAACACAATACAACGTGTACAGTGCTCACTTTTTATTTATTTTTGATTACAAGTATTTGCACTATAAAAAAAATAGTATTTTTCAATTCACCTAATACAAGTACTGTAGTGCAATCTCTTTATCATGAAAGTTGAACTTACAAATGTAGAATTATGTAACAAAAAACAACTGCATTAAAAAATAAAACAATGAAAATTTTAAGAGCCTGCAAGTCCACTCAGTCCTACTTTTTATCCAGCCAATCGCTCAGACAAACAAGTTTCTTTACATTTGCAGGAGATACTGCTGCCCACTTCTTCATTACAATGTTACCTGAAAGTGAAAAAAGGCATTCTCATGGCACTGTTGTAGCCAGCGTTGCAAGATATTTACATGCCAGATGCATTCATGTGTCCCTTCATGCTTCAACCACCATTCCAGGGGACATGCGTCCATGCTGCTTACAGGTTCTGCTCGATAACGATCCAAAGCAGTGCGTACTGACGCATGTTCATTTTCATTATCTGAGTCAGATGCCGCCAGCAGAAGGTTGATTTTCTTTTTTGGTGGTTTGGGTTCTGTAGTTTCTGCATTGGCGTGTTACTCTTCTAACACTTCTGAAAGCATGCTCCACACCTCATCCCTCTCAGATTTTGGAAGGCACTTCAGATTCTTAAACCTTGCGTTGAGTGCTGTAGCTATCTTTAGAAATCTGATATTGGAACCTTCTTTGTGTTTTGTCAAATCTGCTGTGAAAGTGTTCTTAAAACAACATGTGCTGGGTCATCATCCGAGACTGCTATAACATGACATATATGGCAGAATGCAGGTAAAACAGACCAGGGGACATAAAATTCTCCCCTAAGGAGTTCAGTCACAAATTTAATAAACGCATTCATTTTTAATGAGCCTCATCGGCATGGAAGGATGTCCTCTGGAATGGTGGCCGAAGCATGAAAGAGCATATGAATGTTTAGCATATCTGGCACTTAAATAACTTGCAATGCTGGCTACAAAAGTGCCTTGCAAATGCCTTCTCACTTTCTGGTGAGGTTGTAAATAATAAGCGGGCAGCATTATCTCCTGTAAATGTAAACAAACTTGTTTGTCTTAGCGATTGGCTGAACAAGAAGTAGACTGAGTGAACTTGTAGGCTGTGAAGTTTTACATTGTTTTGTTTTGAGTGCAGTTATGTAACAAAAAAATTGCATCTTCACGACAGAGATTGCACTACAGTACTTGTATGAGGTGAATTGAAAAACACTATTTTGTTTATCACTTTGACAGTGCAAATATTTGTAATAAAAAATAATGTACAGTTTGATTTCAGTTACAACACAGAATACAGTATATATGAAAATATAGAAAAACATCAACAATATTTAATAAATTTAAATTGGTATTCTATTGTTTAACAGTACAATTAAAACTGCGATTAATCACGATTAATTTTTTTGAGTTAATCACATGAGTTAACTGCAATTAATTGACAGCTGTAGTTTGTAATAGCTAGTAAATCATAAGCTTGACACCAATGACAGCAAATGACACCTAGTACTGGCTCCAGCCTACTAGTGTAAGTAGCAGGAGAACATCTAGTAGAATTGCCAGAGCTGTGCTACTCTTGTATTGGTGTCACACTTTATGCTGCCAGTAGCCAGTGCTGAAGACAAGCAGTTGTTGTCCATTGTGGTTCCCCTAGTCTGTGTTAACTGAGGTACACTAAATGAATGAAAGGGCAGCTTTGGACTTGCTGGTTGCATTTTGAGTAGTATTTAACTAATTTCATCTTTATATTTTACAGCTGGAAAAAGCAGTATACATTCGTTGTGGAACAGTTGGTACCAGGATGTTTCTGGTCTATGTTTCCTATTTAATCAGTGCTACTGTTGAAGACAAAGAGATAATCTGCAGGTGTCACAGGGTATGATCTGTTGAGTTCAGCAATTTGGAATGACTCTTCAATTCATGTTAGTTTATATATGAAATGATTAAGGGATTTGGATTACTTGTGTATGATTTTAAGAACGAGCCTAATTTCAATGATGCCCACAGTCTGCCCATCGTTCAGTGGAGGGCCAAAGCAGATGATGCCCTGGAGAGAGCTGGGGCAGGTGGTGATGAATTCAGTCCCCTGTAACCTGATGTCAATATCTAGATTTGAAATTTAATACAATCTTTTCCCCCTCCATGCAGGATGAAACTGTAACTATAGAAACTGTATTGCCCTTTGATGTTGCTGTTAAATTTGTTTCTTCAAAGGTATGTGTTTTGAAAATTGATTGACATGTCTTAGAATCATAATAATCTGAGTAAACCAAACATGACCACTAAAATATTGATGCATTCTTTGTTTCTTCTCTTGGTAGTTTGAACACTTAGACAGAGTCTTTGCAGACATACCCTTTTTACTGATGACAGACATTCTGAGTGCTTCACCTTGGGCTCTCACTATTATAACTAGCCAGCTACAACTTTCAGCTTCCATGGTACCAGTAGACCAACTGGAATCTTATGTGGAGAATGGTGAGAATTTAGATTATTATTGCTTCTTAAATAAGATTTTTTTAGGAGAATGGAGTGGGAATTGGGAAGAAATACATTTTAATACCTTATTGACAAATTCATTTGGAGTTTCTCTAAATTATTTGAAGTAATGTTAGCACTTTGAGCTGAACTCACAAAGGGGAAAAAAATTAAAGTTAAAGGTGAAACTTTGTTTGTACCCTGTTCAGCTGTTCCTGGTTATTTGGCATGGAGAAGCGTGGAAAAATCTACTTTAGACAGTGGCAAATCTGAATTGGAATAGAGACCAATACAGAGTGTGATTGAGTTAGGTAGAACTTTGCTTAGCACAGCTTTCTGAAAGTGGTTGTGGTGACTGACTTCTCACTACTATATAAATTCTAAAATTTTATATGAAAGTCTCTAAAACTGCTGGCAATTTCTTAATAATCTTTTAAAAAACATTATTTGTTGAAAGGTAACATTAATATGGGAAATATAAAGCAGTTTCTTCAAAGATGAGTATTGCTATATGGAGCCACCCTCAAGTTTTGTACAGCTGTCATTCTTGTTACATGAGCCAAATGAATTGACTGTGACCAACGCTCTTTATGTGTTCAGGAGCTATTTACAAAGAGAGAGAAAGAACTGTCTCTGGTTCTGTTGAATATCTCAGGCATGAACTAAATAGGCTTGTTTTAAAATGAGCTAAAAATATCTACCAAAAAAATCCAAATAAACTTTTCCCCTCTCTAAATTTTAGTAAAATGGAAATAAAAGGTCAGTAGCCAAAATCCTAAACATCATATCTCAAGTGAAGCACCAGAGAGAACAGCCTCTTAATCAGCCATTCATGGGAAAAGGCATTTGACAATTTTTGGCTTTCATGTACTACATATGCACATTTCAAAAGGCATAATGTACCTCTATAGAATGAAATTTAAACAAGTCCATACATAGGACACACACAGACATGAAATAGTGTGTGAATCTATTCTGACTAGCCTTAGAAGAACATGCAAGAAGTTTCTCCATCCTGTATTGAATACTGCCTTATTAGTTAGAATATCTTGTAGTTAAACAATAATGTTCTCCATCCTTCTGAGATAGATAAATTGAGGACTGTGCAGTAGAGCAGTCAAAAACTTTGACTGCAGTTGTTGGTTGGTTGATTTCATGGAATCGATGTGTTCCACAAGAACGTGCCAGTTCTGTTGAAACTTTCACCAGAAGCCCGGCTGGCATGGCAGCCCGGCTGCCAACTAGTTTTCTAGGCTCCCTGCACAGCCACTTGGCTGGCTGCTGGAAAGCAGTGGCTTCCATGGTTCACAGCTCAGCCAGGACTCCCTGTCTGGCTCCCTTTCCTGGGCTCTCTGGCTCCCAAGGTAGTTCAGGGAGCCAGCTTCCCTGGAAGCCTGGCAGCCCTGGCTCCTGTGGCTTTTTATTTTATTTTAAAATTATATACTCTAAGTAGCTGCAGTTGTTAGTACCCCCGAACGATGGCGGTCTTTGAACAAGAAAATACAATAAGCGCTCTAAATAGCAGCAGCTGTTAATCATTTTAAAAATAAAACTGAACTAAATTTTTTAAAATGGTTTAAAAATAACACATGAAAAAGCCAGTTTTTTTTTTTTTCTTTTTTAGTTTGGTTAGAAACTTCCAAAACAAACTGATTTGGTTTTTTTCCCCAAAACGATTTACTTTCTGCAGCAAATGTCAAAATTTTTATTTTAGGTTCTGAAACCGAATAAAAACATTTCAAATTTTTGGAATTTACAACAGAAGGGAATTCCTGAGTCTGAATCAGCTGTACTGTGCAGTTTACTCTTTTGAATGTGACTTGGAGATTCTGTCTGCTCTGTGTGGATATTGGATATTCCATGGTTCTGTTCAGAAGGTTCTCTATCATCTGTCAAATCATCATATTTCTATGGCCCTGTCACAGGGCAGGGCTTCTCCCCAGCTTCCAAGCACATACTGCCATGCCCAGTCTCCTTTAAGATGGTTTATTTTCTTAAAACAAACAAAACAGTCTTTTTACTCACTCCTTTGCTTCAAACTTCAGGGTCACTCATCCCAGGGACTTCTGGTGCTCCTGGCAGCTTCCCAATCTTAGGCCATGTCTGTACTACAAACTTACGTTGACACAAGTTACGTCAGTATAAAGCTCCTGCAGTTAGTGTGTTGCTTGTGTGTATGTATGCTTGGCTTGTTGTGTCAGCGGTGCGCGTACTCACCAGGTGTTCTTGTATCAATGCACAGTGTAGTGCATCATGGATAGGTATCCTCGTATGCAACCTGCAACCCTCTAGCACGCAGTCTTTTGGGAAGTCTTCTCAATGCATGGTGGGGCTGAAAGGAGTTGCACTGGGGAGACTGGGAGCATGGGGTCAAATTCCCAGTTTGCAACTGTCTCCATCCCCCTATTGTCGTCTGTATCCCATAATTTTAATAGTTTTTTTTTTTCAAAATCCCACACACCCGTCGGGCCCCCCTCGCTCTCTATTGCCAACAGAAGCATGGAGCTTGCATGGCTCTTCACTATTGTCATGAGCATTGAAACACAGGGCACGTGATCCTGCAGTATTTGCAGAGCTGCAAGAAGAACTGAATCAGTGGGGAACATAATGATTTCTTGTAGGACAGATTGCTGTAGGACATAGCAAGAACCAACTCAAGGTTGTTGGTGGCATTCACAGAGAAGTTGCAGATAATGAAACGCCACTTCTGGGCCTCAGAAACAAGCACTGACTAGTGAGATTGCATCGTCATGCAGGCTTGGGATGACGAGCAATGGCTGCAGAAATTTCGGATGCTTATGGCAACATTCATGGATCTATGGGCTGAGCTTGCCTCACCCCTCCAGGGGAGGGACCGAAAATAAGGATCTGTGCTGACAGTGGAGAAGGGAGTGGTGATTTTGCACTGTGGAAACTTGAAACACCAGACTGATTCTAGACTGACCAGTAGCAATTTGGAGTCGTGAAATCCACTGTGGGTGCCACTGTCATGCAAGTGTGCAGGGCCAGTAATCACCTCCTACATGGGACTGTGATCCTCAGCAATGTAAAGGACATAGTGGATAGATTTGCAGCAGTTGGGTTCACAAACTGCGGTGGAGCAATAGATGGCATGCATATCTCTATTTTGGCACAAAATTACCTTGCCACAGAATATATCAATATACAGGGCTACTTTTCTGTGGTTATGCAAGCATTGGTGGATCTCCAGAGACACTTCACCACGTCCGTGTGGGCTGGTCTGGTGCATGAGGCTCACATCTTTAAGAACACAGGACTGTTCAGAAAGCTGCAAGGAGGAACTTTTTCTCAACTGGCAGATTACTGTTGGGAATGTTGAAATGCCAGGATCACTATTGGCATTTCAACATTCCCAGCAGTAATCTGTAGCCTACCTGTTGCTCACCTGGCTTGTAAAGCCATACACCAACCACCTTGACAGCACCAAGGAACAATTCAACTACCAGCTCAGCAGGTGCAGAATGACAGTTGAATGTTCTTTTGGACGACTGATGGGATGCTGGCATTGTTTATGCACGAGATTGGACCTCAGGGAGAAAAATATCCCAATCGTAATAGCCGCCTGCTGTGTCCTGCATAATATTTGTGAAGCCAAGGGGGAAACCTTTCCACGGGTTGGAGGTTTCTTGGGCAGTAGAGTTCACAATGGTGACAAAGCAGTCAGCGTGGGGCATGGTGGGAAAGCTGCTGGAGGACTGTTTGGGTCGACATAGGTAATGCAGTGTCTGTGTGCTGTGTTGACCTCTGTACGTTAACCTTGGCGCAATGCTGCTCGGAGGTTGTGTTACTATGTTGGCATAAGAGGCCACTTACCTCAGTGGGAGACAAATTTAAGTGTAGAGACATGCACAAGTAGGTTGATGCAAGGCAGCTTACCTCATCCTAAGTTTGTAGAATAGACCAGGCTTTAGTTAGCTCTGCTCCCTTCCTGGAGCTTTCCAGAACACCTGGTCTCTTGCACCAGGGACCCACCACCAGAGTTACCTCCACTCCACTGTGGCTTCCCTTTTCCAGGCACAGCCTGTCTCCGTCACTCTTTCCTCCCCCTCTCATTTCCTGCCTTTCATAGGTCCAGGTGTAACCCAGCCCCTTTTAATTGGCTGGATTGGGCTCACTTGCTCTACACAGGGGCACTGGGCCCAGCTCTACTCACAGTGCCCAAGGACCATGTGACAGGCCCCGTTACTGTGCTGACTGAGCACCTCATTATCTCTAATGTTTTCGTGTACAGTTTGTGAATTAATTGGGGATCCCTCAGACTGTATATATTGCATATATACAACACCTTTATTCCTAAAATTTATATATAATCTGTATGTATTACTAACTTTAGTTTTTTAGATCTGGATGGTTTCTGTGCTAATATTCAGTGTGTCTTTTACTTTAAAATTAAACAGAATATTGCTGATAGTTGTTTTGCAGACAGGCGAGAGTGCTAGTGAATGCTTTTGCCTTCGGTGTCCATCAGTTACTAATGTTCAAGGTGGAGTGGCTACCGGACGTTATGTAATCTCCTGGAAGAGGTAGGGATTCCTTGTCTGGTTTTTAAAGCAGTTCATGACTTTTTTCTTAGGGTCTGGGTAGTCGGGAGGATATATTTTGCTTTTTCTTCTTCCCTTACTAATCCTCACAGTGGAATCATCTTGGGTGAAAGCGGTAGGAACCATTTTTTAAAATGTGCGTACTGCTGAAATTGCATCCAAATGGTGATATTTACATTTTTATTAAGTTTTCAACTGTCTGATCTCTTACACTAATTCTTAAGTTTTCTAAAGCCAAAGAGTACTTCACATGTGGGGAGGGGAGGAAGAAAGACAAGTTAAAGAACACTTCAGCTGTATAAAAAGTACTGTTTTAAATGGTCAAACCAAAAAAAATAAATGAACCTAATATTTTTTCCACCTCAATCAGCTTTCTGTATGTGGGTTTGTTTTTAGAGCAGACATTGTAAAGTACATCTGTCTTCTCTAGATTTTAACATGTTTTTACAAGATTATTGTAATAAAAACATTCATATAACACTTTTCTCCTTTTTGAACTGTTGGGATTGCTGTAAATATTGCTTGTTTGCTGCTTGATCCCAATATTCTGTTGGCGTAGTCAAGAATATAAATGCAGTCTACATGTGGTGTTTTCTTTGATAGGAATTCAGCTGTGGAAAGTGTACCTGTTGTTTGTACTGTGATCACTCTACCACATGTGATTGTAGAGAGCATCCCACTCCATGTTAATGCAGGTAATATTAACATGCATGAAATATTTAGCCCTGGGCTGCATGCATGGAGTGTTCACTCAAGGCTGTGAAACCCCATAAGTATGTCTCAGAGCAGAATTTGGTCCGTAGGCCCATGTTTGTCCTTATTGCCACAGACCTGGGTTGACCATATTTCTCCTATAAGAACAGGGCTGGAGGGGAAAGTCCTGCCCATGCAGTACCTGCCCGTTCTCTAGTCATTCTAATCCATGCTTGTACTGCTTCTTCACCCCCTCAATTAGTGCAGATAAGTAATATTGTGATACATAGAACTAGTCTTGTAACAGTAATTTCTGATATCTTTCAATGCTTTCTAATGTTAGAGCTGATTCTGTTAAAGTTGAAAACTTACAACATATTTTCATAAATTAAATAAATAAATTAAATAAATCATGATTTGTTCCTGAAACATCTGATCAGATGTACTATAGATAATGAGTTTTGTGCCACTTTTTGCAAACCTTTCTACTTTTATTGAGTGAGACTTGGTTTTTGTATGTGAAACCAAGACATTTATTTACATATCAGATTATGTAACCTTTATATTCAATCCCTTTGTCTCCAAAGATCTGCCATCATTTGGTCGAGTAAGAGAATCCTTACCTGTCAGATATCACCTGCAAAACAAGACCAGTTTAGTCCAGGATGTGGAAATATCAGTGGAGCCAAGCGATGCCTTCATGTTTTCTGGTCTTAAACAGGTACAGATTGTCCTCTTTGTCACTACTGCATGATGATACTTTTTACACCACTGTTAAACCATTCTAATAGACTTCAACATACTCTTTAGATTAGTGGCTTTCAACCTTTTTTAATTTGTGGACCCCTAAAACAAAATTCTAATGGAAGTGTGGATCCCTTTGGAAATTTTAGACATAGTCTTTGGACCCCAAGTTTTGGAAACCACTCTTCTATGGTAACAACAACCTTTTGCAGACCCCTTAGATATAGTCTGCAGAGCCCCCACAGTCCACGGACCACATGTTGAAAACCACTGCTTTAGATTATATAAATGGTATTTAAAAATTAAATGTTTTTAATGTAACTTTACTGTAAAATAGGAAAAGAAATATTAAAAACAAATTAATTGTAACTGTATTCAGAACAAATCTGACTCCCAGCTCAGTTAAATTTCTGTCTACCAAAACAAGGCTTGTGAAATTTACATCTTTTTTTTTTTTTTCCCTCTCACTTTGAATCAAAGAGAAACACAGTACACTGTAACAAATACGGGCTACCCTAAGTGAATGGTAGACTCTCAAATATTACCTTGTGATAGCCTATTAGCTTACTATCAACTCTGCTATAGTCTGATCAAATTACCCTAGAGTTATTTAGTAAATACTCATCCTTAAGACATGGTGAACTGAAGACTGAGCAATATATCTGGAGGAACATGCACATCCAAAGTTCTTTTTTTTTTAATCTTAGGACTGAAAATAAGTCCTCTTAGAAGTGTCTAATTATGACTTTCTGGATAGGCTGAGGAAATTCATATTGATCATATGATACAGTGTGTGCAGTTGGGTAGAAAAGAGAGAGTTGTAATATTTTGAATATTTAGTCAAACCGATTAAAGAGAATATTTAAGAGAATCATTTTTAACTTTGGAGTGTGCAAATGTTTACTTATATTAAACAGCTTTCTTTCCTGGAATTATTTGATTTTAGATACGATTGCGAATCCTTCCTGGCACGCAGCAGGAAATGTTATACAACTTCTACCCTCTCATGGCTGGATATCAGCAGTTACCATCTCTTAATATCATCTTGCTGCAGATTCCAAACTTCACTAATCAGTTGCTCAGACGATTCATACCAACGCACATTTTTGTAAAGGTAAGGTTCTAATGGAGGCTTTTGGGCTCTTTATAACGAATGAATTCTTTCAGAATTTACTTGGGATTTATTTTGCTTTTGAGAACTGCAACCCCAGCTCTACTCTTAGCAGATTAACTGAATGGACAGTTAACTAGAGAGCAGGCTTGTCTTGCTTTAAGCTGCACAGGCATAACGCTGTGTGTACATGGAGACCATGGACTTCACTGGGGCTCTGTGTTGCTATATGAGCAACAGGCACTTTGCTCTTAAAACCATCCAGAATTACTTTACTGAATTACTGTTATCCTCCTGGTCACAGGATATTATCCATTTTCAGAACATTTGGATAATATCTTGTGACTAGAAGGATAAGTCATTCAATTTAAAGCTTCAGTTAAAATTCTGTCTGCATTTGAGTATTGGTGGAACTGCATTTGGTTAGAATTTTTCCAAGTTTTCATTTATTATCTGCCACCCCATCTTATATTTTATATTACTCAAGTGAGAATTGATTGCAGAAAGTGAAGTGTGAGTATTCATCATGTGATGGGTTTTGTCGGGTTCCAGAATATTTCTGAATCTAAGTTACTATTAGAGATGATAAGATCTAAGCGCAAATGAAATTTATTATACTAGACTTTTTCTACAATGTTGCAGCTACTCAGATATTATGAAAACCTTATGATTGAAAATTGCATTTCATCCCATCATGCCAAACAGGTTTCATGCAATCTTTCTGGCCCTTTCCCGCCTATTTTAAAGCCTTTTACCCAAAACAGTGCTAGCTAGCTAGCCTTGAGTCTTTCCTTTACAGAATCTTGTGTTACTGCTTATGCTCCAATAGGAAAGGTTGAGTGAGAGGCCTGAAGTGTTCCTTTGTATCTCTGAGAAAGGCTTGTTGGAACATCTATAATCCTCTCTCTGTTCCCTGCAAACAGTCTTTGCATTCCTCTAATTTTACTGCAGCTAAGAGGGCTGGGTGGAATTTATTATTTATACACCCTGTCAATCAATGTCTCTCCTAGATCAGTCATCAAGACTTGCTGTTAGGTCAACACAAAGGTCTGCTCCCCCCAGGGAAAGGAGTTCTGAGCATTTACAAGAGAACCTCCCTAGGTTTTTAATTCCTTTCTTCTCTTCTTTGGGCTCATCAGAATCCCAATGTTCTTTCTTGTATGCTCCTGTGCACATCCATGCTTTTCCTCTTAAAATATTCCTTTTCCCAAGGGACCCCACTTCAAACTTATCCTAGAACCTTCTGGGGCTGTTCCTGCTTCATGCATGTATTTATCCTCAACATCATTATCAATATAACATTTGTATTGCAGTAGTACCCAGAAAGTCCAATCAAGGTCAGGTCCTATGCTAGGTGCTATACAAACATATATAAAGATATGGCTCCAGCCCTGAAGAGCTTATGGAGGCAGTTGGGAGAGTTAGAAGACTTGAATGTAGATAACATCACAATATTTTTTGTGCTGCCATTAGAAATACTTTGAAGCTAGGAAAGATACAGCACTGATTAGACATTGTAACATTCTGTTCATTTATGATAATGTTGCTAGATAAATTTCATAACTATATATAATCTTTATACTGACTCTTCTTTTTCTTTAAAGCCACAAGGTCGACAAGCTGATGATACTTCTATCGCAGCTGCGTAACTGCAGACATGGACTTGTGCACTAGAAGGAAATGGGATGTTGCACAGAATATATAAAATTTTGCTCTTTGAACCATAGCTTTGATCAAACTTTACGAATTCAACTTTTATTTTTAAATTACAATTATGACAGCTATCAGCAGAACTAATGTTTAAACATTTAGTTTTTCATAAACTTTCACTAATGAATAAATATATGGAATAAGTTGGTGCTCTGTTTAACATGAACATTCTTTCTCTTCAAGTTAATTTCATGATTCTTAAATGCTTTTAAGAAGTAGTATTATATGGAATGTCTTGAGAATGAAAATGAAGAAAACCAGGTGCACTTGCCCAAAAAAGAGAAGTGCCACTTTCTTCATTAATGATGGCTTGAGGTGCAATGTCTGTACTTTTTGTTTCCGGATTTACAGCATTGAAAGTGATCGTATCTGATAGAAACTTATTTTTTTGCCATTTATATTCAGAGGGTAGAACAGTATGCAGCAGCCTGGACTCTCAGATCTATAAATGACTTATTACTACAAATGGATCTGTTGTCACTGAGTGGCTTCCTAATGCTTTAAGCAGAGTCATTAATTTAAAAGGCTCTTTGTACCAGGTGAGCTGTACTTCAAAATGTTTCACTCAGCAGTGACTAGTCAGTAAAATATGGAGTCTTTGGAAATAGCTTCATTAATTACAGTTGTACCATCCAACATTAACCTGAAAATTTTGAATTGTTAAAAATGCACTGCTTCCAGGACAAAGAAACGTTTTGGCAGTATTCTGGTATGTCCGTTTAGAGGTACGTCCTTGTGTAGCTTCACAAGCTGGTATTTAAAATATTCACAGTAAATCATGTAAATAAAAATTGTTGTGAAATCTTCCATTGTTTAACTTTCTAAATAGTTAGATTAAACAACTGAATTTTGATCTCCTGGAAATTATCGTATTTATTGTCCAAGTGAAGTTATATTAAATGACTTATTGTAACTGAATATTTGTGAAACTGAGTTGAATGTGTTCATTTCCCAATTATATTGATTTGTATATAATGGATAACTGTCCAGTGTGGTCCAGTGGCTTAGTGGATAAGATTCTGGACTTGATTCTCTTTTATGTCTGCCTTCAGCATCCTTTAGGGCAGAGGTTCCTAAACTTTTCTTATTGCATACCCCCTCCAGAGCTATGAGCTGCCTGCATCTCGCTACCCTTTTCATTACTGATATTGTGTGTTCTTCTTAACACTACCTGTCTTTAGCCATCTGTCCATATTTCACTGTTGTGTACAGATATAGTTATAGTGTGACCTATACAACTGGGGGAGGGGACCCTGACATAGTTCTGAGTTCAATTAGGCTTGACAGTTGCTGGGCAACTGAACCCGCACTGTACAATGGTTGGAGGTAAGGGCTCTGT